TTTTTTTTGTACTGGCGATCAAACTCAGGACCTTGCACTTGCAAGGCAGGCAGTAGAACCTCTGAGCTAAATCCCTAGCCCGTGATGCATCACTCTGGATTCTAAGACATTAGAGTTTGGAAAAACACATTAAAAAAATGGAGACATCTTTCTCTTGGGAGAGAAGAGCATTTAAGCCCTCAAGCCTTCTTGGGGAAAATTTACAAACATTTTTTCATCGGAGCAAATGAAAACCTGTGAGGAAGGTAGGACATATCCATGATTATTTTTAATGCATGAGGAACCTGAGGCTCAGAAAGTCTGTATGATTTGTCCAAAGTAATGCAGCTAATAAGCAGTAGAGCTCAATAATAAGTGTTTTACTCCAAGTTATAGGCTCTATCCACAGTAGAACACTCTTTTTAATAATGCAGAGAGGCAGGTTACTTCCTGGGGTGGGGATGGTGAGCGATGAAGGCAATGTCTTGAGCAGAAGTCAGGAGTCACCTTGGTGACTCAGCTCACACGAGGACCAGAGAGAAGGGGATGAGGAAGCTGAGATGAAGGCAGAGGAGGTGAGGGAGAATGAACTGTGTCAAGTCAATGGTGATGCGAGAGAAACCGAGGGACTCTGGAGGTGCAATTTAGATTCTTTTCATTCTGGAATAGCTTTTAGCTAATATTTAGACAAGGGCAGAGTAAAGCTATTTAACACAAGGGAACCTTCCACTACAGAGGAAAGGGTTCTGATATTATGTGATTTTCAGTCATTCAAAAGAGAGAGAAGCAGGTAGAAACAATCCCACACAAGGCCTCACACAGCCCACGGATAGCTCACCTCGTCATCTATCATATCCAGGCTCTGAGTGAGGGGCAACAAAGGAACCGAGAAGAAAAGGGTTATAGAAACAGGACACACAACATACACAGTGCACCATTGAAATACAATACAAATCACTCCAAACTCGAAGAATATCCACAGAAAAATTTACAAGGAAAAAAACACTTTACGAAACAAAAATCATGTTATAAAGAAATAAGTATTTAATAAAAGCTAACATATCTTCACTTACATTGGCTCCTCCCAACCCCATCCGTTTCAGGAATGATGTCAATCTTTACTGGAATTTCCTGCCTCATTTACACTCTGATCTCCTGGTAATTCTTAACAAAGCTCATCTGGACCCTAGCTTCTGAGGAAGTGGCTTGTGCCTTCGTTTCTTTCCTTATCCCAGCTATGCCTCTTTACTGCGAAGACTCAGTCAGGGGGCACATCATATTCAGAAACAGTATCAGAATCACAGCACTGGGATGACAGGGGAGAAAGGAAATGGATCACTTGTAAACTTCCAAGTGATCTGAGTTGTTGCCTAGCTTTTGTTCTCCAGGGCCTACCCTCCCTATCATGTGTGTTTATGTATGCAAAAGGGACCCTGGAAAGCCTCAAGGATCTCAGAAACAATACTCTAATTTCATGTTGCCTGAGAGGGAAAGATATCATGCAGACTTCACTTTAAACATAAAACCATATTCCTGATGATTTCTACGCTGAATCTACCCTAAAAATACATTCCAGCGAGAATTCATATGTAAAACTCAGGAATGAGAAGGCTCTTCTGCCACAGTGCCTTGAGAGTACCTCGTCTGATGACAGCAACAAGGACGGAGACAGCCCTGGCGTTCTGGGTTCTGCTCCTAAGCCGCTCAGGTCTGCTGAACTGGTACTGCTAGGGCTGAAGTCATCATTGAAAGTAAAGTTCTGGAAAAAAATAAATGAATCTTGGTGTTAAATGAGCAGAGCGAGTGAAATGGAGGTAGGTGTGCTGCAAGTTCTCAAAGGGATCTTTTTAAGCACTTCTTAGAAGGAACTCAGGTTCAGTTCAGTGATGACCTTCATCTAGGCAGGGGCTGTGCATACAAAGCCTTTTGCAGTTGATTGGAATTCTGGGCACTTTCTGCATCGGATGAAAGAATAGGTGTTTTAAAGAATGATTCTTCACTCTTTTTCCAAGGGTACAGAATTCATTATCCTCTGTAACTGCTCAGAGGAGCAGTTATTATTAATAAGTTATTATTAATAAGCCTATTTTCTTTGACCCTACTTGTGATGAGTAACAGCCTAAGTAAAAATACAAGATTGTGTGGAGAGGCTGAGTTATTAGGAACAGATGGAGATTCATATCAGGAAGGGGGCTGGAGCCTCCCTGGGAAGGACTGCATGCAGCTGGCTGTGATAAATACCACGAGGAGCGGCAGATCCTCCCTGGTTGTTCCCTTTATGATGATGAGTTCTGGCCAACAGTGTGGTCTGACAACACACAACCAGTTATACACTGGGCTATAGCCCTCTCACGGCACCAGCAGACCACCAAAGAGGCCGTGGCCCAGAACTGGACAGCCACCCAGTGCAAGGAGATGGAGCAGGTGAGTAAAACTTGGCAAATACTTATTATGTTCATCAGATATTAAAATCAAATTTAACAAAGGCTGTAGAGCTGCTTTCGTGAAATATTTCAAACCAAATCTGGAGTCTGTTCAGTGCAAGATAACAGTTGAATTATTCCAGCAACATTAAATGTTTCTGAGCCAATACTAAAAGAACAAAATGGCCTGTTGCTGTCAAAATTTCTTTGCTAATAATTATTAGCTGGATTCTTGGGAATGCTAAGTACTTGACCAACATCATCTTATTTCATGTTGCACTTCTTTAGGAATTGGATCGTTAATGTCCCACTAGGTTCCCCAGAATTAGGCTTAGTGGGTTATGAAGAATAAATATGTCAGGGCCTGGAAAACTCAATACCCAAAAAACTCAAAAGATGGTTAAAACTAGAATCATGGGGTTAGGCCAAAACAATAATTAAGCAATAAGGCATTTTTTTTTTCAACACAAAACATAACCCCTGGTACTACTGATGAAGATGCGACCCCACACCCTGGTCAAAACCTTTGGAGCTGTTGATTTCAAGAAAAGAATTAAGTTCCAGTAATGTTAATCACATGTTTCTATTTGAGAGAGAAAAGTGAACACAGAAAGAAAGGAGACGAAACAAGTGAAAGTTAGCCACTGTGTGTGTTCCAATAAATGTTAGAGAAGGTTTGCAGTGTCATGCTGGAAATAACCATTGTGCATTTAAAAACATACTGAACTGTGCATCTAATTCCTACTTCGGGTAAAGTTAAAGAACTGTGGTGACAGATACAGCAGCTGGTCAGCATGTTACCTTGGTAAGAAAAGAAGGACTAAGGTGCCGTGTCAGCACTGGCTTCTTGTAAAGAGTTTCTTCTATTCAGAATTGAACACATACAGTCGCAAATTTACCTGTTTTCCAGTTAACTTTGAAGAGCACAGCAAAATAGTTTTGTAATGTAATCTGAAGCAGAATACTTAGTAAACAGATCTATAATACTGTTTCATGATTCAAATGCATCTTTCCCAGCATGGCTTTACTGTCAAACTGAGATTAAATAGCAGTACGTGAAAAGACAGGCAATTAGATAAATATACACTTGAGAATGGAGCAGTATTAAAGCAGGTGAAGGTTACACGAGGCGTTCTCTTCCCTACACAAGGAACACCATGCAGTGCCTATCATGCTGTTATCACACGGTTCCTCAGATCTCAAGCACACACACAGGCTGAGAATGTCTTCCAAAGACCGAAGAAAAGAAGGGGTTTGAGATTTTCTTGTTTGCTTTTGTAATCCACATGTTTTCTACCTTGGACCTCATTTTATCTGAAATTAGAGTCTCAGGAGAAGGTTGAAAGGGACTTGTAGGTGAAGGTGGGTTCCTGAAGGAATAGGATCCTTTCCAGCTTTCGTTAAACCACGAGAAAGGCATGCAAGGGGAACGGCTGGCCGCCTGGGCTGCTGCGTGTGGCTTGGGTTTCCAGTTTTCCAGCCTGTCTCTGAAGAACCTGTTTCGTGAAAAGAACAGAGCTGTGAGACAAAGAAAAGGGAAAAAAGAGGTACTGAGCCAAATTCTGAAAGGACTCCCGAAATAGTTTGATAAACTGCTCCACTTGACAGAGTACCAATTTTGCACTCTGGGCTATAAGACTACTCTTAATAGTTATCTTTTCTGCATCTAAATGGGTTCTTAGGCAATAATCAACATTCTCAAATTGCTACTGCTGTGGCGAACTTTTATTAAGTGCATGTAGTAAGTATATTGGTTGAATTAAAACCAGGGAGGCACCGTCTTTCAGGAGCTGCCCTCAGCTTAGTGACCACAGCATTCTGTCTGGGTGATGTGTCAGGGCCTCACCGTTCCCGAGTCACTTCAGCTCGTAACAGCACCCTTCCTGCTTCCTCTGATCTCAGGTCCCCAGTTGTTCATGGCTTTAGGAAATGATATATTTAAATAATTTGGGGGCTCCAGAGCTCATGATATTTTAATCAGAACCTGTAGCTTCTGGTTTTTCATCACAATCTCAGCATTTCTTTCACAGGAGGAATGTGACCTGAAGTTCCACATTCCTCTGGGTGGTTTAGGGCCCCACCTCCTGACTATGTGGCCTTGGGCCTTCTCTCATCCTCTATTTTCTCAGCTGTGCAAGGTAGATATTTGTATGAATCTCAGGTGTGGTTAAGAAAATACACTTAAAATGCTCCGAAAACTGTCAATATATGTAAGTCTATGTTTATTGTTTGACATTTTTAAAAGGACTCAAAGGCATTTGAACAACACAGCATGAAAACAGATTTTCCCCTTCATGTAGGTATTCACTGTATTTCTCTCCTGATGAGCAGGAAAGTTATTATCAGGAGCCAACCTAGGAACAGATATTGGCTTATGTTCACCTTGAAAGATGTCAGCCTCAACAAATCCAAATGATACCCAATGCAATACCTATCATTTGAAAGTTACTCAAATAATAATTAAGTGCCTAGCTCCTACATGTATGCTGACTTTCAGATTTATCACATCTCATTTAAAAAAAATTGATATAAGCAATAGAACTCCTAAAATTTCCAGTTGATTTCCTAATATTACTGTAAGAACCAAACGGAATAACGAGTGTAAAAGCCCTAAGTAACTCATAATAAATACGCAAACATAAAAGGATTTATCTTTAGTATATTTTATATAGAATTTATCTTTAAGACAATTTTAAGACAACTAAAGAGAATGGAGACATCAGTGAAGTTTTGCTAAACTACTGGGATCAGCAGGTTGGATGAACAAAATTCCTGGTCACATTAGAGTCCTAGAAGACCTACTGACTTTAATAGTGTATTTCTGGAAAAAAAAAAAAGTGGGAGAGTTTCCAGGGTAACAGAAAAAGCTCAACCAGTGATATGGCACCCTTCGATTTCATCCTAAAGTCTAAATTTAAAAAGACAAATTATCTCCTTCATCTATTTATTATCATGAGAGAGAGGGATTATAGACAAATTTCTCATGCACATTTCTAGTACCACAAATTCTTGGTGCTATTAGGAACTTACACAACTGCGCCTCATCTGATTCAGATAAATCTACATGTGCCACGCTTCTGCTGGTTGAAGCTTTCTCTAGTTAACTTTCTTTGTCCTCTGTGTGGATTCCGTGTTCTTTAGCACTCACTCTGGGTTGGAAGTTCGTGAACTTTAAATGAGAATCTTATTTCCTTAATGCACACAGATTCAATTCCTAGAGAACCTCTGGCCTGCAAACACATGCTTCTGGGGGAGACAATCGCAGCTTTTCTCACAGCCCTGGGAACGCTTCCTTGAAGCCTCATCTCACGGCACTCGCCCCCTTGTCCTGGTCAAATGCAATCACAGACCTCTGGGGAGGCAGATCTCTCTGAGTTCTCATTCTCTCTCTCTCTGGTCATAATTTAACCTCAAAGGTTTGTCCCAAATCTTAGGGACCAAAGCTTAGGTCCCAAATTCCACTAAAAATGCTCAGATTTCCCTAACTGTGTAGAAACATAAAAAATGTTTTCTGAAGTCCCACACTCATTTGGCATAATCTGGGGAAAAATTGGACTTGACGATCAAGGCACTTTTACAAATACTTCCATCCATAATTCTAATAAGTATGACAGTCCTTAAAAATACAGCTGCTGTTTTAAAGTTTATGAAGAAGCCATAATTAGTAAGAGGATGACAAGCTTATCCTACTCATAAGTGAACTGCCTCTGTAGCAATGTCTTTAGAACCACCACCACAACCTTTTAAAAAATTGGCAGGGAATTAGAATGTTGATTCTTAATTATCATTCTCTTGCCTTATTTGGAAAGGACTTTTGGTTGTCCAAACCTTGGTGAGACAACATTTGAAAAAAAATCTGAAGGCCACATGTAATTAAACTCTTCTATAAATTCTCTCTGCCAGGAAAATATTCAAAACTAATAATTCCACATGGACTTGTACAACTAGCACTAGAAGTAGGGCTGGGGCCATGGAACCCTGGCCTCTGCTGATACCCCTTGGCTTTTTCTGCAGCTTTATACACCCAGATTATGGAAAAAGGAAAAATCTTGCAGAAACAAGAAAAGCCCACTTGCAAGGAGACAATCACTCTTCCTACAGTTGCAAATAACCAAATTCTGAGATATTTTCAAGAGTGTTTTCTATTTCTCCAAGAGAATCAAGACTGGAGAAATAAATTCTTGATGGTTTTGAAAATGATTTTTGAAGGATCAAATAGCTATGTGATCTATACTTCCTTCACCTTCTTTTTTTTTTAGCTGTACCTTAATGGCTTGTTATCATTTTGGAAAAATAGAGTCACAAGTCACTACTTAATCCCTGATTTTTTTTTTTTTTTTTTGCTAGGAAGTAAAACAAAGAATGGCTTGAAATTCAGTCTTCAGTACCCATAGATGTTTTTTGGGAGACAGCATTTCATGGCATTTAGATGGTTAAGGCTAATAACTCTATAGAGCAAATAACTCATTTACATACAACCTGAAACCAATTTATCATGGAGTTGCCACCCCAAAATTAAATTTCTCAGCTAAACATTCCGTGGTTATTTTGTCAATGTTTTAACTTGAATACAAAGTTTGTGAAGTACCAAACAGTTAGATGGCGTCAGAATCTTCATTTAAATTTCACGAACTTCCAACCCAGAATGAGTGCTAAAGAACCCTGAATCCACACAGATGACAAAGAAAGCTAACTGAAGAAAGAGAGCTTCAACCAGCAGAAGTGTGGCACATGTAGATTTATCTGAATCAGATGAAGCTCAACTGTGTAAGTTCCTAACATCACCAAGAGTTTGTGCTACTGGAAATCTGCATGAGAAGTTGTCTATAGATTCTTTCCTCAAATTTTACTTTTTTATTTCAGTCCTAGGGATGGAACTCCAGGCCTTGCTCATGCTAATCACTATAAAACTATACACCCAGTCTACTATAAAACTATACACCCAACCTGTAATCTTAAAATTTTAAATTCATTTAAACTCACTTTAATGTTCTAGAACTCAATTTTTTTCTTGCACGTGCCTTGTTTTCAGTGATGAAGAATGAACTGAGGGCCTTCACTAAGTTCCCAGCCATTTTAAAGTTTTGACACAGGATGTCATTAAGTCACCAAGTTGCTTAAACTCTGGATTCTCCTGCCTCAGCCTCTCAGAGTACTAGAATTACAGGTATGCACCGAAACGCCTACTTAGATTTGTGTTTTTAATATATGGAATAAGTCAATCACATTGATGAGAGTAATAGGATATTTTAAATTACTACAGTTATAATTTTAACATTAGATATGTTAGAGTCTCTCAGATTTTAGGAATTTAAAGTCCTTGAAATGAACACTCCCAGAAGTTGGTGAGTGCAGTTACAACAGGAGGGTTCTGAGGGGAATGAGTCTGCCCTACTAGAGCTGAGGTGATGTTCTTCACAGGTCTGCATGGGAGTGAGCGCCTTCACCGGGCGGGGCAGGCAGTGGTGAGGTGTTCATCTATACCAAGCGCACACATCTCAGTCCCCTCTCTGACGGCCTACGTCCACTCGGCCAAAATGACCACGAAGCAGGCAGGCCCTCTGCCTGACAGTGACAGGGCACAGCAGACCTCTGCGTACCTGTCAAGCTCACCATCCTACCTGATTTCTCTAAAGCCTCTGGGAGAAATACCAATCATGAAGGTGCACCTGCAGTGTGATCCAGAGAGCCCGTTCATTCAGGAAGTCACAGATGTCATCCCTGGATGAACGAGACAGCCAGTAAAGTGTGGCTGAAGAATACTCTGTCTCAGATCCCTCCCAGAATATAGACAATAATGTTAGCCATTTATAATTTATTAAAGATTTAAAATGTACTGAATAATGTGACTTCCTCAATCTTCTCAACAACCCAAAGCATGTGGAATGTGTCTATATGTGTGTCTCATTTCGTAGGAGGCACAGAGTGGCCAAATAACTTGCCCAAGAGAAGTGGCAGAGCTGAGATTTGAAGTCAGGTTCTTAACGATTCTGACATTATACTCTTGGTTTTCACTGAAAAGCCACTATTAATCTCCTTTTTCCATATTTTAAAAATTAACTTTATTGGTACATTTTAGATATTCAATATAATGACATTCATCATTGGAAATTTGTACCTTTACATGATCCATCTTGATTTTAATTTGGTCCCCATTCCTCTGCCCTCCCTTCTATCCCTCCTTCCCTATTTACAAAGACTTGGTTTTCATTTTTTTTCATTTTCTCATATTAGTCCCATTCCCTTCTTTCCTTTCCCAGCCCCTGCCACTTTCCCTTTGGTCCTTTTATTCCTACTTCACATTGTCTATTATACCTTTTGACCCTTATTTACATTTTTAGTTTCTCACACCAGAAAAACTATTCAGTATTTTTACACATCGGTCCTATTTATTTCACTTAAGAGTATCATTTGGATACTCATTTGGAACAAAAGGAGAACAAGAAGAGTATCATTTGGAACAAGAAGAGACCTAGAATAGCAAAAGCAATTCTAGGCAACAAAGACAGGTAGTGGGTATCACAATCTCCAACTTGAAACTATACTATAAAGCTTTTGTGATAAAAACAGCATGGTACTGGCAAAGAAACAGACCCAAGGACCCGTGGAACCAATGAGAAGATGCAGAAACAACTCCAGACACATTCAGCCACCTCATCTTTAACAAAGGAGCCAAAGACCCTCACTGCAGGAAACATAGCTCTTTAATAAATGGTGCTGGAAAAATTGGGTTTCAACTTGCCAAAGATTAAAAGTAGACCTATATCTCTCATCATGTCTAAAACTGAAATGGATTAAAGATCTAAATATTAAAAGAGAAACACTAAACTGGCTTGAAGAGAGGTTAGGTAGAATTTTTGAAGACACTGGCATAGGAAAAGATTTCATGAACATAATCTCAGTTGCATGTGAATTAGCAAAAACAATCAACACATGGGATCTCTTCTTATTAAAACGTTTCTGCACAGCAAGAGAAACGAACAGCATGAAGAGACAACCCACAATGTGAAAAAAATTTTTTTACCACTTGTTCCTTAGACAAAGTTCCTAATCTAGTATAGAATATATAAAGAACTTTAAAAAAATCAGACCTCCCAAATTGAAAGACCTAATCTAATTTTTCCTTATATAATTTACTTTTTCTTTTGAAGGGAAGTGTTTGGGAATTGAATCCAGGATCTTCACATTGAGTTATATTTCCAGCCCTTTTAAAATTTTTCTATTTTTTGAAGCAGGGTCTCACCAAGTCACTAAGTTCCCCAGACTGGGTTCAAACATTCAGTCCTTCTGCCTCAGCCTCCCAGAGTGCTGGGACTACAGGTGTGTGCCACCACGCTGGGCTGAATTCACTTTAAAAGTAAACTATGTTGTTGTATAGCATGTACTTTTATATATAAACTAATTACAAACATCCCTTCTTTGCCTTTTGGCTAAGATCAAGTGTAGGATAAACAAATTATTTTTGAAACCAACAGACTAGGATATACATAAAAGAATAAGAATGAATACAAGGATTTAGTTTTCACAGAATCATACAAATGAAAACTATCCAACAGAAATAATTTAAATAATATATATAAATTTAAAATTTCCAGGAGCTACATGAAAAATAGAGGCAAAATTGATTTTAGTAATATTTTATCTAACCCCTGAATCCAAAATATTATTTTAACATGTAATCAATATTATAAAATTCGTATTTCACACGCTTGCTTTTTCATGCTAGGTCTTGGGTGCGGTATGCATTTCCTTCTATAGCACATCCTGTCACAGATGAGCTCAGCAGCTGTTGTCTGTCTAGAGGTGACCACATGGAACAGAAGATACAGGGATGGACAAGGAAGTCAGAAAACATGTAGTTTCAGCCCAACTCATTTGTTTTGCTTTTGGTAGTGAACCAAAGTGATACCATAGAAAGTCATGACCGCTACCTTAGATTTCAGATCAGAGTTGTTTCTACCATTCACACTGCCGGGGTGCGTGAGATTTGCTTCCACAGAGGTGGGTGTGCCATCTCTCCCTGGCACTCTCCACCACGTACCATCTGTCTTCCTCTGACGTGCACGCTTGCTCCCAGGACTTCCCAGGCAGTGTCTAGATACGGTGCTTTTCCCAGAGCTCTAGGAGAGGTTCATCCCACATCTGTGGCCACATACTCCACTTGGAGTTCAGGACAGGGCTTTACCTGACCTTTTGGTGAGTATGTGAGAGGATGCTCACGCTCTGCTAACCAAGTGCTTCCTGCTTTTGTTATTGGTGATCCTGCTTATTTAAATCAGAATGCTCACAGAGTGGATACTTGAAAAGGCCTAGAACCAAATCATATTTGTTGGGTTTATTATTATCTCCACCTATCTTTTCTATTCACCTCATGATGGTCAGGTATCTGAATCATTAGGTCTCCACAGGAACAACAGAGCAAACCACTCTGGAGTGGGGGCAGGGGGGCCAAATTAAAACCAAGACCAAATACAGCAAAAGTCTTGCCTCTTTAAAATCTAACAGCCACAGGCTGTAAGCGACTGATGACCTCAACTGATTTTAGCTACCTATTAAGAAGTGGATGAGAAACCTGCAAGTGAAGATTATCGACACAAGTTTGTGAATCCTTCCTCCCTTTTCTCAGCAGGATGCAAAGGGGGATGAGTCTGTCCAGCTCTTCTCCGTAATTGCAGTGTGACCCTGCAGGTGACGAGGCTTCTGCCCACCTACCACAGGGGCTCTGCAAAACCAGCTGAAGCTCCTACTTGGGCGGTAATTCTGTTCTTCTGGGAATATGTCTGAGAAGGTTCTGGGCCCATTATTAACCCATACAAGAGGACAGAGAACCTCATTAGATGTGATTAGTGTTACCCAGTTACTCTGATAGTTCAACAGTTGTTTTTGGAACAGAGAACATCCATCTCCTTTTCTTCTATTTCAGTTGTATGAATCTCTTTCTATTCTGCCAAAATTCCACTGTAATTGCAAATAATTATAAAATTATGAGTCTGACTGAAAATTATTTCTAGCATCAGTGCTGTTGAATTATCTGATACTAATGGAGCAGGGGGGACCCAGAATTAGTTTTCAGAAAGATACACCATGCCAGGAAGGCAAACTGGAAGCCTGACTACAGTTCAAAAGCTGGTATCAGCTGTGCTAACAAGCATGCTGGAGACCAACCACCCAGCACCCAGCACCCAGCACCCATTTCGCTTGTGGTCTAGTGACCACTCAGCTATACCATGAAGATGTGCTGATTTTCACCCAGAGTTAGTCATACTAGTAACTTAGCCCTGCCAGATGATGTTGAAGCAGGACATAGAGAAAAACAAAGCCTTCCCAGCCTTGGGCCGTTTCCCTCCCAACTCCAATCTCTCCCCACTCCCTTGTAGCTGTAACTTGCTGTTCTGGTACAGATAAAATTAACAACTATGTCCCGTAAACAAAGTTTATGACACTCTATTCTCATATGACTCATAAGACACTGCCTTCTCTCAAGGCAAAGTTACAAAACTGTCTGCCTTTGTCCTGTTCTGGTAAACTCACTTGCTGTGTTACTCGAAAAACCATTCCCTTTGACAAAATGGGGAACTGTTCTTTTTCAACACTCAGCTGTGCCGTTTTAGAAACAGTCTACTGAGCCGGTGCATATACCTTAAATAAATCCTCCTGACTCCCATTTGGTTTCTCCTTTCTCTTGGAATTCTGCAACATTGTATTCATGCCTCTCTAGGTAGAGCTTCAAAGTCGGGGCAGTGACCACCTCTGATGCCCAAAGACAAAAGGAAGGGTCCAGTTCAGCTTCTCCCCTACTGTGTATTGGCACATCTGCTATTCCCTTTTCTTGGGCTTTCTAAGCTTTCTCCTTTGTACAGCATCAAGGAATACCAGTCTAGTAAAAGTAATGGAATTACTATTTGGGAATTCTCTCTTCTCCATCTACACCCCAATACAGTTTCCTGTAATACTGAGAGGGTACAATTTCTCATTAATGCAGATATGAGGGGAGAGAGACAGAAAGGAGAGTGAGGGAGGAAGAGAGGGACAGAGAGAGAGAGGAAGAAGGAAGAGAAGGACGGAGGAGGGAGTAAGAAAAGAGAAAGGAAGGCAGGAAGAGGGAAAGAGGGAGAGGAGAAAAGGAGAGAGGGAAGGAAAGAAAACAACAGGGAACATCTACAATGTGGTTAAATGACCCTCAAATGCTTTTAGAGCCTTTAGCATTTTGTCTGTTTCTTCCTTGTTATTAATCCCCACATTTTCTAAAGAAATCAAAGCATCATCAGAAGCATAAGTACTAGGGGTAGCACAGTGTGCTGGAGAGAAATCTGGACTGAAGTAAGGGCTCCACCTTGGCCTTAACTGCTTGCTACAGAATAAGCAAATCAGTTAAATTCTATGAAGTTGTTCTATACAGTACTACTATCTGAGGGTCAGATGAAACGATAAATGTGAAACCACTTTGAAATCTGCAAGTAATAGCGTGAAACTGTTGTTTTATTATTTTTAACACATCCTCTGTGTCAAATACCATTTCAAATCCTTATAATACCCTGGAAGGTAGGTACAGTCTCACCTTCATTTACATGAGAAGACAGCAGTAAGGTGGGCTCCATAGCGCGCCCAAGATTTAAAAGGCCTAAATGGGAGACCCATGATTCAAATCCAGACAGTTGGATTTCAATGCTTTATGCTTTAAAATTATGTAATCTCAGAATAACATTGAGAAAACCAGACAACATGCTGTTCTAAACTCCTCTACAGAAAAAAAATCTTTACTGAAAAGTATACATGGTTAATGGTGCCTGCAAAGTGCTGCAATTAAATAGCCAAGTCTTGCTGACATGGTGGTACATGCCTATAATCTCAGCACTTTTGAGGCTGAGGAGGAGGATCATCACAATTTCAGGCCAGCCTGGGCTACACAGTGAGTTCAAGGCAAGCCTGAACTCTGAACTACAGCATGAGATCCTGTCTTTAAAAAAAAAGTATGAAAAAATCCAATTCTGTCCATAAAGAGATGGTAGTCACTCTTACATACACGTGGATGAACCAGTTCTGAATGCCGAGGTACTTAAGTGCAAAATTAACCTTTCAGACTTAACAAAAAGGGAACGCATTAGAATTGTGGATAGCCAGGCAAAAAATCTGAAATATGTCTAAAGTGCCATATATAATTAGCTAAAACTTTGACTGAAATTATTCATGAGCCCCTAATTCTGCAGTTAAGGCCCAAGGCCCAAGGCCAGATGTAGGGTGTAACTAAGGTAAGAAAAATACAATTTGTACAAATACTGATTGTACAATTTTTCTTTGATCTCAACTTTAGAAATAACACTTCAGCTTAGAAATACCAACCACTAATTTTTGTTAGCAATGAAAAGAATGGGTCAGAAAGTTTAGGCATAGAATTAAATTTATGTTCTTTATCACCCACCCGTACCTGCTACCTGCAGAAAACCTATTGGCTTCTTTTTCTTTCCATTTCTTTCCCTTGCTGCAATTCCTTCGCAGAGGTGTCCTATAATGACAGCATACAATCAGAAAGTGGAAGTCACTTGCCTCTTCTAGGTCTCCTTTTACAGAGAGCTTGCTTTTGGCATCACAAAGTACTTACCCCAGATCCACAAACTTCCTCCTAATTTTTCCTCCTTGCACCAACAAGCTGGGCGCCCTTGGTGATTTGGGGCATTTGGCATCATCTAGGATATATATATATATATATGAGAATGACCAACCATTATTTTGTATTATTTAAAAAATTTATTAGTACATGTTTGCAGTCAAGGTTTACATTCATCGCGCAGAGTTGGTGCATGTCTATACCACATCTTAATTATGTTTACTTCCCTTTCCCCACCCTTCCATGTCTTGGTCCCCCTATTATTTAAGTCATGAATCTAAGGTCAGTGTATCCAAGGGGTTTGCCTAAATTCTTAAACGTAGAGGGAAATAATGGGTGTTCCTTTAAGAAGACACAGCTGTGTTGCAAAAAAGTTACTTAAGCAAAGAGGTGCTGTGGAACAGAGCCAGCACCAGAGCGTTAGCTTTAACTACACTGGAATGACTGAGATTGGCAAGAACGGCTATTCTCACGTCACCCTATGGTTTAAAGCAGGACCAAAACAACTTTCCTTTTGTTCCTTCTCTGGCCCCAGATCTTGACTTGAAAGCCTGGGCTCTGTTCTCCAAACTTTTCCTGCTTTTGGGTTTTTATGCCTTCTGAAGGAATCCAACCCAGTTCTGCCTTAACTCCTGAGAGTCTGGGAGATTTAGGGAGAAAATGAGCTAGGTTTTCCCTTCTGCCTCTCTCTTGCTAATACTGTAATGGCCTGTGGCTAATCCTGGGATAAGAGAGGGCAGAGGAAATGGGGGAAAACTTCTTAAGCAGGAGCTCAGCTATAAAACATTTATATTTTTAGGTCTTTCTTAATAGCTGGGTTAGAGCACAACTTGGCTGGCCATCCATGATGCAGAAGATGCCAAAATTTCCTCAGTGCTTGGAGCTGCTTCTTTGAGTAATGCTGATACTCTAAAGGTATTAGCTGGCAGGGGAGGGGACACACAAAACAATGCCAACACCAATCAGAAGAGAGACTTTGTAAATGGACTTCAATGTCACATAGGAGAACTAGATCCCGCTGGTGGCACTCACTCCTCCTCTGACCGGGTAGATAATTCCTAAGGCTCTGCCTGAAACTCTTCAGCAAAGCATGATGTTAGGTGTCATGTTTCAACATATCCAATGACCCAAGATGATTAACGAGTGGTATTTCAAACTTGATGGCTGTGTGAAATAATTCCTTTCTAATTGTTGATATTTATCTGTCTTTATCTTTTTAAATTTCTAGGAATTTTGGCATGGAATGCAGAAAGAATAGTTCCCTTAAGATAGTGTTTGTTTAAACTGCATGCTAATTTTGCTTAAGATTGTTTGCTTTGGGAGAAATTTTTAAACAGACCAACAAACATCCTTTAAAAAAAAGTGTGCACCTAGTTCTTATTTGGGAGCGTGACTCTAAATCTCTCAAGCAGCATAAGATACTGATAAATACTCCACGGACTTTTAGTCATGAGCGTTTTGTATTTTTAATGATACTCAGATTATAATGATCAATTTCTTGAAATGTACATAATGAAATATAAGGGTCAGAAATATATCTGTGTCAAAATCCACTTTTAGCCTTAAATACTTATGAATATTTCTATCATTACTATTTGAGTAGTCAAATTGAATAGCCACAGATGTGACACGTACACATAAAAAAATTCATAGACAAGGCATAAATGCTTTTTTCTATGGTGATTTTGCTAATGGACATTTTTCTTTTAAACAAAGACAGATTTCTATTTTCTTAAAGAAACTGAAGACAAGAAAATGCTGCATTCTACTAGATCAATCTTAAGGCAACTCTTAATGGCCAGGACTGTTCACGGTTCAAAGTAGGCTGTCTGATTATCTTCTGAATGAGCAGGAGCGGGGAGCTGTTGTAAGGAGTGCGGAGAAGGCCGGCGCAGACAGCGCACAGGGAGACAGACGCTCTGTAGCCTGGTTGTAGGGGCGTACGAGGACACAGGGGACCAAGAGCTGGTCCTGCCCATCACAGAGCCTGCTGCCAGGTGGCCTCACATCACTGTCTCACACATCTGTCAAAGCGTGTTCCGAGAAACACTGCAATGAATGCTTCCACAGAGCCAGAGAGGTAAAATTAAGAAGTACACACAATATCCTTTCCCATTGTAGACCAATAAAATCCACCTTTTATGCACATTAGAATTTGTAGTCTTCATGAACATCAATGCTGGACTGGTATGATTTCAGGAAAGAAGAAATATCACATTTTATTTATTTATTTAGCTTTATAAAAGTTTTCCATTATGCTCCCCTGGCCCTCCTTTTGAGGTGCGGGGGAATCAAACCATCAGGCTTTCAAAAAGGCCCTTAAATTGAGTGTGTCAGCTTTAGGCTCTGGCAGGTTGGCTTTTATTTTTGAAGGCAATAAATGACCTCCTGATAGGCAAACCCTAAGGTTTTTTCTTGGCCTGCATTCTCCTTAGCGTCACCTCATCAAGACATGTGACTGCCCTTTTAGGACGGGGACTTCTACACTCAAGCCCTTCCCTGGCTCCTCTCCTGAGCTGCTGACTTCCTCTGCTTATAAAATGAGTTACTCGTGTTTTCCCCGTGTCTCCACTTTGCTGCTTTCTGTTAATGACAAACGGCGTGCTCTGAGGCTTCAAGCCCTGTGCTAGATTCCGATTCCCTTCCTCCCAATTCTCCAAGAGTTCTCGTATTGCTCTCTCCGGCCATTGCTCGTGGCTCCTCTTTACTGCCTTTCACCCTGCAGGATCTCCTCTCACCTTCCCTACCTCCAGTCTAGTCTTTCTCATTCCTCAGTTGGAAACAATTTTGTGGTTTCCTACACAGTACTGAGTGCTAAATATTTCATTCTATAGCTGTAGAATACCTGTTTGCTTTGATGCAGCTGCTCTTCTCTGCCCAAACAATCTCCTTTAGTCAGCTATGATTCAGCTCGGCTGATCTGAGTGTATACACTTATTTTTGGAAGTGAAATTGGAGGGTTTGAGACAAGTACATTACTGTGAAACTGCTACCATAACCCATATTTTAGGTTAATTAATAAAAGTTTTTTAAGCCATTAATTCTTTTGAAGGTAAGCCAATATCATAGTCAAGCTATTCACTAATCTGCCAAGCACTTTTGATAAATTAAGAGACCTGACATAAATTCTCTGGCTTCCACTGGCATTTTGTACTCCCTGGGGGCCTCAAAAGAGCTGTGCTTTGGACCTGTCTGTGGAAAAGAACTGTAAAAGGGACAAGCTTATGGAAGAACGCCAATGAGAGGGCCGAGGATTTAACTCAGTGGTTCCACCACCTGCCTAGCAAGTGCAAAAGACCTGAGTTCTATCCCCAGCACCCTTCCCCCCAAAAAAAAGAAAAGAAAAGAAAAAAGAAAGCCAATGAGAAAATATCAGGAACAACATTCTGCAACTGATGACGGGTTAGGGAATAATGTAAGCCCCACAGCCAAAGGTATTTTCATGTTTACTAGGGAAAATTCCTGATCTGTTAAGAGAAAAATTCGTACACAGTTTTAAAAAAAATGTAGAGATGCCTTCGTGCCTGCAATGTATGAATGTGTCCTACACTACCGCTAGCACTAAAAGACAGAATTCTTCAAATTTCAGCCTGAAGACTTTGGCTATGTGCCAAATTCGGAAATTGGCTAATTTAAATGTCACATCTTTCATTATTAGTAAGATTGATCATCTTTATATACCTTATAAATAATGTGAGTTTTCTCTTTAAGGAATGGACAGTTTATTTCCTTAGCCTATTTCTCATTTTTTAAAAAGGAATTCTTTACAGCTACTTGTATATTAAAGTCTAGCTAGTAATCTTGTACATAGAGTCCTTTTTATGTTTATTGACTACAGAAATTGACAGTATTTTTTTAAATAGCTATAAAGGATAAACAAAAAAAACCCTATAAAATAAATGTGCATTTGTTACCCTACCCGGCACTAGGCTTTACAAGAACTAGGCCTTCAGTACACCGTTCCCCAGCCTCCCTGGCACCTCCTCCAGGTAACTCACTTTGTCACTCCCACTTGTGACCTCAAACTTTCATCTGCATCTCTAAATAACCTACCAGTTTTAACTTCATAGAAATAGAATCATAAGCATTTTTCTGTAATTCGTTGTATCCCATTAATGTTTTTTCCACTGTATATATATATATGAATAAGATTATATTTCAATGCAGTTTATTACTTTCTTCATGTTTCCTGCTGCACTCACTGTATGAATTGACTATAATTTATTCATTCTTCTGATGTTGTTATCAATACAAGGTTACTAGGACTATTCTTGTACATTATTCTTACTAGACATGCGCAGGCTTCTCTTGGATCTATACATCTATACAGAGTTACTGTCATTTAAATTTGTTTGTATCACACTATCACAGAAGGATGTCCATAAATATTACGTGTAAAACAAGGTGACAGGAATATGATTAGAATTCCATTTTTGTAAAAAAAGGTAACAAGTATATAAAAACAAAACACACATACACCAAAGAGTATTGTGTGCATGTGTACATTTTGTTCAGACGGAGAAGGTGAAATAATGAAATCTACTTGGTTACTTTAAAAGGAACATATCAGATATAGAAGGAAGCTATGCTTTATAGTTCTCTGTATTAACTTGATGAAGCCAGAATCTATTGCTTCTGTAAACTTAAAACACAATTCAAAAGGCAAACTATCAACATTGCTATAAAATTCTGGTATAATTCTAGGAGCCTATTTTAAAATTGAATCGACTAACTTCCCTGCACTACTTTATTACAGCTGTTCTATTACACTCTTTGCAATATAAATCATCATTGTGAAAATTTACTCTAAATAAAACTCAATTAAGTGATAATGACCTTTGTAATTTTGAGCTTAATATTGGTTTTCTCAGATGACAATGTTCATGTTTATGGAAACACTGAGGCTGCTATTCTATAAAATCTTTAGAATGTCATAAAAATAATTCCTTTCAATAATAAATCTGTAGAGGCCTGGGGATTTAGCTCAGTGGTTGCACTGCCTTCCTTGCAAACACAATATCCGGAGTTCAGTCCCTGGTACCAAAAACAAACAAACAAACAAATAAATCTGTGGAATGCTAAAGAGATAAAAGAAGTAGACTAACAGGAGAACAAAAGAAAACACCTGGGACTAAGGATTTTGCTTATCCTATAAGGTAAAAGGAAAGCAAAAGACTTATGATGAGGAAAAAAACCTATTTTTTAAATTGTACAAATTGAGCTGTTGGTGGAGTTAAACAAAGGAAAAGCAGAACAACAAAAATTAACAATACCTTTTTCTTGTAGTGTTTTCTCGGCGATGGCCTGATGGAGGCAAGGAGAGTCTTCTGCAGCACAGTCACAGTCTGAAGGTGAGGAGAGGGAAGAGCCTCCCCACACAGAGGAGACAAGCGCCCCATCTGGGTGCAGTGGTCCTTGACACTCAGCTATGTGGTCAGTTGAGAAGGACGTGTGGCTAGCCACTCGGGTGAGGGGCAGAACCCCAGAATCTGATTCTGGAGAAGTTCTCAGACCCTTGGGTGGCAATGATTTGGAAACATGCATGTGGTTACAGAGACTGTCTGAAGGCTGTTGGTATAAGAGATTATAAAGGAGGTTATGCCAGTTCTCTGCAATACTTACTCTGAAATAAAAATGACCTTGTTTTAGTGAATCCCCATGAAAAGAAATTGTTTTGTTGGTTTGCCAACCAAAATGCATAGTTCATAACAATTCCCTATGTTAACATTATAGCTAACACAGATACCCAGGACATACAGAAACAATTGCTTGTATATTCATTATTTCCCACTACATAAAAACTAATAGCTGAACATCAAAAGCACCATCCTGAAATACAACAATATAGAAAATGCTCTTGGCTAGTGTGCTGAATGAGTAGAAAAAAGAATTTGAATTATAACAATATATCAAGTTGCATAAGAATTCAGGAGAGAAAGACATGAGTTACTCTAGTTGTTTCCAGCTAGGGCATAAACATAGACTCTGGTTGTGAAATAAGCATTATTTTCAAAAAGCTATAGGAAAATAGTACAGCCTAATACACGTCTGAAAATGGTTAAGGGCTCTCACCTTTCGCTCTAGACTGTCCTCTCCATCTGTGGAACTGACGCTGTCATAGAGTCTTGTCCTCGTGGGCCTCTGGCGCCTGTTCTTCACTGAGAGCTGGGCACGAGTTTTCAGTGCTTTTGAATCGAGGCGCTCTGTCTCTGGAATGGCCTCATTCAAGTCTAAGATAGGAACATAATAATTAGTAATCAAAATAATCAGTGAGAGAAACTTCTGGAGAGGATTGACAAAAGGACCAAGAACACTGACAACAAAATCTCAAGGTTACCTCTAACATCAGGAAACAGATGACAACCATTATAGTCTGATATATCACAGGTAACAAAGAAATCAGTGGGTTTAGAGCAATGTACAAGGTCTAATGGAAGAAACTAACACCAAAGGTGACCAAGGCAACAACAAAAATCTAACATCCAAAGAGCGTAAAATCTTTCTATGAAATAATTATAAAAATATTGTTAAAGAAATAATATACAATAGGGCAAGTTCTTGCCCCCTCCCCATTTTTTTCATAAAATGTTCTGTTCTAGGAATGTAATATGTTATAAACTCAAAACATCAGAGCATTTTAAGTTACGCCTCTTTATTAAACCAAGCACTTGTCCAAAGGTGCTAAGAAATTAAATATATGTTTGCACAGGAGATACAGCCACTGAATGACAGTGTTTATAGAACAGTTTTGACTTTTTATTTCCTATACTTTAATGAACAATGAATATTCAGAAAAATCAGACCACTCAAGTACATATGAAGAACAACTACATATTTTCTAACTATTCTCTTTATTTTTTATCACCAATAGGAAAAATAATCTCCTTGATTACTTCAATTTCCTTCTAAGAATTTATCAGTTGTGATAACTGGGAGAAAGTTGACCTTACAAGCTCTGTTTACATATAAAATGCAGAATTCTGCATAGATGAAAGCAATAACATGATCATAAACGCCGCAGTGTCCGAACATTTTGCATCCTTTCTGTCACGTCTGGACTACGTGCTGCACAACACAAACACTGCCTTTTGCTCCACCTCATTTGTCCTTCATCACAAAGCCTTTATTCCTCTCCTAAAGCTCAGAAACTTTAGCAGCCTGCCCTGATTTACATAGCTACTTGATGAGTTGCTGAGATTATTTTAGTGTTTTGACTCCCAGGCTACCAGGCTGTCCACTCCAACTTGGCTTGTGAAAAAGTTACTATTATAAGATTTTAAAGCCATTACAATTCATTGTTTTAGGTTACAAAATTATACATGATTTGGTGCCTAAAAATTCCGATCTCCAACAGGTTACATGTGAATATTATCATTCATTTTTTGTATGTTTATTGGAGAACATAAAGAAAGGAAGACATTTTTACAACTATAGAACAAATTGCTTTTCAGATTACTTCATGTCTGGTTGGCTTAATAACAACCTTGGTTACTCAGTTCCAAAAAGACTCACAGAAGATGCTCTTCATAACTGTATCAGCGTGGTTCTTTTTTCGACAGAACCATGACCCTCAAGGACCTAGAAAAGCAGCCCATATTCAGGACTGCAGTAGGTACTCCATTACTGAGAACAGAACAAACAATGCGGGTAGACGTGAGAATGACTTTATTAGTAGGGCTTAAGGATACAGAGAATTTGCTTTGGCTCCTGCTTCTATTACTATTGGTAATCTGCCTGGTGTTGCTGTCAGACAATCCCAAGTGGCAATATGATACATGTGCTCCAGCATCAGCTGATTGGGTGCAAATGTGTGAGTGCACACCTTAAATTATGTCTGTTAAAGATGCAGTTAGTTGGATTCTGAAAAGTAGTGCCTTCAAACCATTACCCGAGGGGCCAACAACACACTGCATGCAATCAACAATTTCTGAGGGTCTCAAAGCAAATATAAGAGCTTTTATAGCCGTGATTATGGACTACAAACCAATAATTTATATTCCATTTTGGAAAAAAAATCTTTTTTAAAATAGCCAAAAGGAATGGTGCTGAGAAATTTTCATTTCAATAGCACTTATGCTAAGAAGAAGCTGGAAGGAATACTGACCGTAAGAAGCACCTATCAAGGATGCAGCAAGGGGGTCCAACAAGGCTGATTATATAGGAGGCATCGTGTCAGAGAAGATTCACCAAAAATACGGGCCTTCTGAAACAGGAAGAGGTACTCACACTCTGAACTCAGAAGTTAATCTGAAGGATAATACATGTAAATCAAGCCAAGTATCTGGATTGTTGCAAAGGGGAAGTGGGCTCTCCATGGGAGAAGCCATCATGAGAGTGTCCCAAATAGCCCAAAGGACCAAACTAATGCTCAGAGGGTAGAATTCTGGGACAATCTCTGTACATGGCCAACACCTCAAACACTGGAGAATGCCGCACCCTCTTTGCCACCCACCACAGGCGAGGGAAGCATGTGTCCAACTCTACACAAAGAGAGAATAAACACGGCAGAGTCACAGCGACCCCATCCTTCACACCTCTGGAGACAGAGGGAAGGGAGTGTGACTGATCAGTTGGTCCAGAGTGAGCTCTTCCCTGCCATTTCCACAAAGACTGGAAAAATCAGAGTTAGCAGGAAATCCCGAACAGCACCAGGGAACCTGTAGGGTGGTGCTGGTGAAGGATGCATATGCCCCGAACCTAGCTTGGGAATCCCATTAGATTCTGCTGGCTGGAAAGGGGGATTCTTGAGATAGGGTCAGTTTGGGATTGGAGTGCAAAGGAAAAGATGGGTCAGGTTGGGGCAGAGGCATGGTGACAAACTAGTTAGAAAATATCTGAAGCAAGAACATGGAATCCTGCCCAACACAGGACACGGGCATGAGGCAAAGGACAGCTTGGTGTCAGAAAAATTATTTGATATCCTCTTCTCAAATTAACTGAAGTGGCTGCAGGACAGAAACAAAAGACTGCATGCCCAAAGCACAGCCTGAATTTAGGAGGCCAGCTCAAAGAAACTTACAGGCCTCAGCACAAGCTGGGAAACAGCCCACAGACAGAGGGGAAATCGGTGTCTCTGCCTGCAAACAGACTGCAACTAAAGCCGGAAGGGAACTGCGGACCCTCAGGCTCTGTGGCACAGTCCTGTGGGAATTTCGTGTGCCTCTGCTGGTTGGGGGTGTTGGATGTGGGTTCCTGCTCAATTTTGTTGCCCACGCCCTTGTTACAGTTTTGTCTTTCTCTTGTTTTGCTTTGAGATATAGTTGTTTGCTTTCTCCCCTCCTCCTTTACCAGGGTTCTTTTCCTCATTTCCAGCTTCTGTATCAACGCTATTATTTTACACTTGTTTCTCCCACTTTTTCACTTCTTCGCTCAAGTTTTCCTCCATATTTTGCCCTGCTTCACTCATCTGTCTTCTCCCACGTTACCTCTGGTTCCCCATTCTATCCGTTCTGCTCTTATCTCACCTCCCCGTCTTCCTGCGCCTCACCCCCATTTCATCAACTGGTTCTGACAATGTCACAGCTTTCCTCAAACCCAAATTATACTTCACCCTCCCATACCCCACCCCGCCCCACAGATACCTTCTTACAACTTTTAACACTAACCTTTCGTTTCAACTACAGAATTCCTGGAACAATCTGACCTGCTATCTAATTTTTCTTACCTATCATTATTTTTCCTATCTACCTTTCTTCCTACTGACGTATATCCCTCTTTCATCTGTCCCCCAATTCCCCTTCCTTCCACATCACAAACTGCTAATAACAGCAGTGTAGGCTGTGAACAGTACTGATAGCAGAGAATAGAAATTCAAGGTTTAACACATGTAAGTGATGTATGGTTGGATCTGGTCGTGCTGTCATAAGCAGTGATAATTCTTTCCTCACAAGACAGTCACAGGGTCCAAAATATTTAAATTGAATAGCTGAAGGGTGAACATTTTCTCTGGAAAAATAAAGCCACCAACACAACACTGGAAGGCAGACTAAAATGATCTTCATAGCAACTATAATATCTTCTCATTCAACATGACCTCAACCCAACCCCTAGGACCAAACATGTACACATACACTACACATACACACACACACACACACACACACACACACACACAGAGGAACATGGGAAAACAAGGTAGCAAAAGGCCACCAAAGTCTCCTACCTCTCACAAGGCAGATCCGGGGGCAGAAGCAGAGAGGAACACAAACAGCAGGGAGTGGAGTTTTACAAATCGATTAAAGAGGTAAAGAAACTCGGCAAGTTCAAAGAACACACGTGATCCCAAAGCTCGAGGAACTATCACACAAACTGATAAATGAGGGTATGGAAGAAACACACAGAAAACTGGAAGAGTGGAGTAAACCAGTTCAAAACACAAACAACAAATTTAGTAAAGATATAGACTCCACAAAAATGTATCAGATAGAAATACTGGAAATAAAAAAATGTATGGAATTCATAAATTGCAGAAATGACCACCATTGTGAAGACAGGATTTCTGAAATTGAGTTAAATCTCTACTAATTACTCAAAGAAGCCATAAAAATGATAAGAGAATAAAAAAGAAAAATCCAATGGCTAATAAATGATGCTAGGACCAAACTAAGCCTAACTAGAATTAGAAACTAGAAGATAGCACACGTGGAATAAAAATTCTGTTTATAGAAATCAAAACAGAAAACTTTCCAGGTGTGAGGAAAGATTTCAATATATGGGTAAGCTAAGCTCACAGCACCAACTAACATCACACAATTCCAGATGCCCTCCAATCTTAAATCTGCCAGAGATAAACAAAAAATCACCGAAAAAGGTAAATCCAATTGGAGTATAGCAGACTTCTCAACACAAACTCTGAAGGCCAGAGGAGCTTGGAGTGGAGTATTTCAAGCCCTAAAAGCAACTTCCAACCTAGATTAATATATGTTGCAAAATTTTCTTTTAAAATGAAAGGAGAAAAAATGATATTCCATGAAAAAGAACAACGAGATAAATGAATACCAAATCAGCATTCCAAAAAATACTAAAAAATATCCTTTATAGTGACAATGAAACTAGCAAAGCAAAAATTCAGATGGAATTAAAACACCGAATAAAGTGAACAGATAAACAAAACAAGAACATACAAAAAGAGCTATCAGCAGTAAAAGAATGTAATGAAAGGAGTAAATCCATACCTTTCAGTAACAACACTTAATGTTAATGGTCTCAACTCCCCAATTAGAAGACACAG